AAAAAAAACTAAAAAAAAAAAAAAAAAATTAAAAAAAAGAAGAAAATAATGAAATTGCATCGACCTAATTTCCAGTTCTTTCGAATAAAAGTCTAAAAATCTTTTGACTTGGAATTAAAAGAGAGAGAGAGAAAGAGAGAGAGAAAGAGAGAGAGAAAGAGAGAGAGAGAAAAGAATATAAAGAGCAAAAAAACAATTATTCAAAAAAAATAACATAAAGTAGAATTATCAAAAAAGATAAAAGAAAAATGTTACATACAATGTTAAGAGGTTAAGTTGAAACAACGATACCGGATCAAAATTATCCAAGTTTGCACGTGCAACTGGCAGAGAAATGCTTCGATTCTGTTCTTGGTAATTGCATCCATTCCTGTGGCTCACGAACGGTTAACGAACGCAACGGGTCGACTACGGGTGCAACGAGATTATTTTACGGTCGGCCATTTCCATCCGATCTATTTGCACGCTAATGAACGCATTTTGCGTAAGACTGTTTTAACGCTTATTCGTCGTTTCCTCTCGCTACAATTCATGTCTACGTACCTATAATCGAGATTCTCTTTGCAATACATCTTCTTAACCTCTTTGCCAACCAATCTCGCAATCGTTTATAATATAGAGGGCGTTGGGCATGCTATGGGTATTTGCTTAAGTCACGGAAAATGGCGTGTCATGTATGTGGATTAATGAGTATGTTCGATATTGATTAGTTAGTTTGGTTAGTTTGGTTAGTTTGGTCGAAATGAAGTAGAAATTGAGGAAATTTTGGATGAATAATAGTGAAAAGAAATAAAATTTCGATATAATTATTTGTGATAGAATTTGTGATGATTCGTGGCAAGTGGCAAGTGACAAGTGGCAAGTGAAAAGTGTAAATGGAAAATAAAAATGATGCGTGATTCGTTCATATTTGGAAATTTTTGAAGAAACAGTTTTCAAAAAAGAAATATTTCTGATTTTCATGCTCAGTTATTGATGTTTGATTTTTCAGTACGTATTTATTCTTTATTTATAACATTTTTTATTAAAATTATTATTCACAGAGTAATAATAATAATAATTCACTTTGCATAATTGAAAAATATCTTTTGAACGAATGATAAATTTTCTTTTTTATAAAATGGCAAACTGAAGTTTTATATAAAACATTTTTCATTAAAGACTTCAATTTCTTAATTATATAAATAACTTTCTCTTAATTATTTAATTATAAACAATCATACAAATATTTTTTTAACAATTCTTATTTAAAAATATTAGTGAAAATAAATCTATTCTGTAAAGTTACATAAATACTTATTATTAATATATATTAGATTATATTAGGTTAATCCAAAAATTATTCGTATCATTTTTTTATGAAGAAACATAATCATTTCTCTTTTTTATCACTTTTCTCCATTTCATTAGTAAAAATATTGTATCATCGATATACATTTTTTGTGATTTTTATATTTAAATATTCTTAGAGGCAGTTTCGTGTTTTTCAATGACGATCCTTGCTTAGGGCGATAATAATTTCGAACCACAACCAATGTGTATAATTACGATGAATATTCTATTGAATTTATGATCGAGGTTGGTTGCTCGTTGGTTGGTTATTTATGGGAATCGTGATTCTATAGGTTTCGAATAAATTTTTATTCTCTTTTGTACGCTAATGAATAGACATGGAAATTTTCGATACATGAAATAATGTTTTTCTGTATCTTACATCGATTTTGATATTGAATATCTTTATGAATTTTGAATTATATTATTTATTATTCGTCATATATAAATTTCTTTCAATTTCTCATTTAGAAGAGATATAACGAAATAAACTATGTATAAAATAATATATATATATATATTCATTAGTAATTAGTTGTTTGAAATATTTGATAAAGATTCGATACTATCGAAAAGAATCGTAATTCGAAAATTTTTTTGAAATTTTCAAAATTGATTGTTTTATATTTTTTAACAAAAATGATGATGAAAGAACGGAAAAAAGAAACTCAAAATACAATTATGAGAAAGAAAATTTTATTGAAATAAATAAGAATGGAATATTTTCAAGAAATTTCAAAACAATCAGCAGATATATAAATAGATACGTTGCATAACCTAACTTAATTTATCTCTGGTTTTAATTCAGGTTAGAATAGTTTGATTTAATTCAAAAATAACTTAGATTAAATGATTCAAGATTAAATTTTCTAGAATATTATATATTTATTATATATAATAGAATATTATATATTTTTTAACTAGAAAAATATTAAATAGAAAAAGATATTGTCTTTTATCAATCTTTCGCTTCGTTTTTTCCAAATTTATTTCATACAATGTATCAACTTTAAAAATTTCAATATAAAATATCACAAATCTATTCCATCTATATTAAATAATTCTCTTCATAGTATATTAAATACAAAAAATTATAATATATATATATATATATATATATTCTACACATTTTTTTCTCTATTTAACACTATAAAATATTCTCCAAAGCGAATCTCGCGTAAAAATCTTTTCATGAAACGCATACTTGAAAAGTTATTCAACGTGTGCAAATTCTCCACTTTTCTTTCATTTGTTTTTCCACACTCCAGAGCCAAAGTTATTTCCATCGATTAAAATTCTAATAAACTTGCTTGCGCAACATTCAACGAATTAAATATTTAAATCGATAACCGCAAATTCTCAACATTTAAATATTTTAATATCCGGTGGCGCTGGATAAATTTTAATCCACGTGATTTTCGTTCAGGATTCGTACTTTTGTCGGTCACGAAAGAATATCATTTTCGAGATTGACGAATCGAAAACGCTTTGCTTTCATGCCGATTATACGTTCGATATCGATGAATTTTCCATATTAATTACAAACATTAAATTTCATTACGACCAGCGAAATCCGTCTACTCGCCAAATGACAACGGTTGAAATTTAATGACGTCCGATCCTCGATCGATGAATGTGCTTGTCAACCTTCGTTGGGATTATTTCAGAGAGAATTATCGACGATGAAAGGTTAGAATTGTTTGGCCGCGATTAAACGAGCGCGTTCATTTTTGTGATAGAAATTTTAAACGTTTGACGAACGTTATTTGTTAACACGAGTCGATGAAGTAATATTTTTCTCGGTTGATGGCAATTGAAATTCACACCGAGTTTATTAGATTTTCGGATCTTTTTCGGATGTTATAAAATTTTTGTTATCACGTATATTCAAAACATTTTGAAGAACTTTAAGATACATATTGTTTTGTACATTGTATCTTGTATTGATTTATTTACATCATTATGATTCTGAGTATATACAAAAAGATAAGAAGGCAATATTGTAATCCATTTTGAAAACAATACCTACTGATATGAGTTGAAGATGAAATATAAATAAGTTGTGCTATTTTTACAATTTCCTAACCTAAATATTTAATTTTGTAAATTTACAATAAGTATGCAATACTTAAAATTTTTTTTTTCTTCTCTTTGATGGAATTAAAATGATCTTAAAAGTTTCGATCGAAACATTTTTAAATCGATAAAAAATATGTATTTACATTATAAAACAAAATATTAACCTATTTCATGCACCGATCTAACACCTATTTCGGTCAAAAGTTTTTCATCGGATTGATTTACGATCTCGACCCTGGATACCTGACGAAATAACGTTGAATTTATTCACTACAGTCCCAGATTAATATCCACGCGCGAGATTTATGAACAGGAAACGATCGAAAGGAACGGAACGGATGATTCGATTAATCGCGATGACTCGTTTGCTCGACAAGTTTGTTAATTCGAGAAGAGGTCGCTTCAGAAGAAGTAAGTAAGGGAAGAAAAGAGGAGAGGAAGGAATAAAGTAGGGGGAAAGATGTAAGCACTTCTCCGCTCGTTTTCGAGACGAAAAGAAGTAAGTGGAAGAATTCAGAAGTGGACTGGAATCGCCCCCTTAAAGAGTTCTTTGGCTTCAAAGATGCTCGACGAAAATAGTTTTGTCGGATGAGCGAATGGAGACAGAGCCAAATACAAAAGATTCATCCGGCGCGAGTTCCGGTAATCTTTTG